GAGTTATGTAGGAAGCTTCGATCAAGGAGAGACAATTAAGGCAGGAAGAATAATATTAGGCCAGAATGGAACATGTTAAAAGATTAGACATCGAGCCGGAGCATCGGTCGATGTATTGGCAGAAGGCTTCGATTCATAGGTTTGGGCATCGGGCCAAGAAGAGCGGATATTACGACAAGGAAATCGAAGTTGTAGAGGTTAATTGGCCCATTGGGCAATTGGCCGTAAGAGAGGACGATGCGCCGATGAATCGAACGAAGCATCAATGAACCAATGACATGCCATACAACATTTGATTTAAGTCTTATAATAATTGTCTCGATCGAAGTAGGTTTTAAGTGTGCACGATTAACTACAATAGTGATCAAGGCATGAAGAAAAATGAAGTCCCGGAGTCAAGAACGATATTTCGTTGGGAGTTCGAGAGTTCTTCGGAAGTCCGGATGTTCGTCGGATGTTCTATCGAAATTTACCGATAAGTCCATGAGCTTGCCAGAGAAGCTTGTTGGAACTCACCAAGAAGATCGTCATGAATTCTTGGAGCTTGCTAGGAGTCCGTTGGAACATTGCTGAGAGATCATTGGAAGTTCACCGGAAGTTCACAGGAAGAAACCTAGACTTATCGGACTTATTTAGCTTAGTGTATGCCTTAAAATTCGTAGTTAGAACATAATTGGGTTGGAATTGGGCCAACTCAATTAGGGGCCAATTGAGCCCTAGTTTAGGCTATGTTGGGCTAATTGAAATGCTCAAACAATGACCTAACAGGTGGCACCGTCGGTGGCACAGTCTCTAAGACTATGTCAAGCGGTGGTACCACCCAGTGGTAGTGTCAGGCGGTGGTACCGCCCAAACACAGTCTCCCAAGCGATGGTACCGCCAGATTGGGCGGTGGTACTACCCAGTGTCAGTACTACAAGCGATGGTACCGCCCAGCACAGGCGGTGGTACTGCTAGGACCCGGGACACCCGAGATGATATCTTTATAGGCTCCAAATTTGAATCCACTTGAGGCCTATAAATACCTCTCTCATCCCTGGTTAACACACATACAACTGAGAGCAAAAAAGAAAAGAAAACGTTGCTATAATCTTGTGTGAACTCCTATCAACGCTAAGTGTTAGTCTTGTTTAAGAGAGGAGTGAAGGGGGTTGTAAAGGTTCTCTCCTGAACCTGTTAAAAGGATAATCAAGTTGTAAGGGTAGTTGATCTTCTCCCATTGAAGGAAGATCGTTAGTGGATGCTAGTGTTAGGATCGGAGCGACACTAAGAGGGGGGGTGAATTAGTGCAACGGATTAAAACTCATAAGTTTGAAAACAATTTCGTAAATACGTAGAGATTTCGTTTTGATAGTAACTTGAGTAAAATGAGAAAATGAAATCCGAAAGCTAGCAGTAGTGTAAATGATAATTTCAGGAAGGTAAATACTCACACATTCAAGGAACGCACTAATTTAAAGTGGTTCAGTCAAAATGACCTACATCCACTTGCGAAGCCTTCTTCAATGAGGCTCCCAACTTCCACTAGCAAATCACTTTGAAGGGGAAGGACAAATACCCCTCTTATAACCTTTTACAAGTGGTTCACACTCTTACAAATTTTCAAAGAGAAAGAAAGAGGTGAACACTCAAGCTATTGAAAATAAGACTTGCTAAATACTTTGCTAAGACTCTATCTCAATTTCTTACTTATCAAAAGGTTGTGTTCTCTGCTAAGAATTGATGGGTATTTATAGGCCCCAAGAGGATTCAAATTTGGGCTCCAAATTTTGAATTCTCTTGGGTTTCCGAGGCTGGCGGTGCCACCGCCTATCAGTGTCTAACACTGATAAAATACTGGCGGTGCCACCTCCCAGTCCGGTAGTGCCACCGTTGGACCTCTCGGGTGCCGGGCGGTGCCACCGCTCAGTCCAGCGATGCCACCGCCTAATCTGGTGGTGCCACCGCCTGCACTATTTCAGCTCACTAGTTGGGCTCCAAACTTGGCCCAAACCAATCCGAACTCGGGCCCAATTGGCTCCTACTTGGGTTATAGGATTAACACCTAATCCTAACCCTAATTAATATACTAAATATGAATTTAAAGACATTTCCTAAGCTATTATAAAGTCCGCAAGTCAAGACTTCTTCCGGCGAGCTTCCGGTGGTCTTCCGATAAACTCTCGGAAACCATTCTACGAACTCCCAACAAGCTCCTAGACTTCATGATTTGATCTTGGCGAGTTCCAACGAGCTTTTTCGGCAAGCTCCGATCTTTCTTGGCGAGTTCCACGAACTTCAACGAACCTTCCGGCGAGCTTCCGAAAAACCCTTCGGCAAGCTCCCTACTCATTCTTGGCTAGTTCCGGCAACATTCCCGATAAACCTTCGGACTTCCGTTGAACTCTCGAACTCGCAACGAATCCTTTGCGCTTGACTCCGACACTTTGTTTCGCTTTATGTCTTCGTCATTATTATAGTTAATCCTGCACACATAAGCCAAAACTTTACTCCGATCTATACAATTATTACAATGCGAATTGATATTCTATTGCCCGACACGTCATTGGTTGGCGCTTCGTCCGATTCTTCAGCACATCATCCTCTCTTACAGCTTGTTGCCCAATCGGCGGTTGACCTCCGCAACCCCAATATCCTTGGCGCAATTCCGCTCTCTTTGGCCCAATGCCCGACGTTCGAAGCCTTCTGCCATCCAATATCCCGACGTGATCTCCTCCGACGCAACGTCAATTCCTCCTACATCAACTGTCTAATCCTGATCGAGTAGACCTACATCACTCAAAATACAGTTAAACATCTAAACACAATCAATTAGTTTTCATCATCAAAATCTGAGATTCAACAATCTCCCTCTTTTTGATGATGACAACTAATTGATGACTAACAGAGTTAACCTTAACTCCCCGGAGTTTAACCAAACTCCCCCTATCAATATGCCATTGATAGAACACTTGGATTATCCCAAATCTAAGTAACATTCATCACATGTTATGAAAAATATTTAAACCATCATGTAAATATATATAAAATATTAAATTCAATGCATGAAGTCATCAATATACTTCTCCCCCTATGTCATCAACAAAAAGGAGAAGTAGCTCTAGCTATTTTAAAAGATATGCAAATTTTTGCAACATGAAGCTAGATTTTCATCACAACATAAAAGCATAGCAAGATTCTTAAGTTCAATCATGGCAATTTAACACTTGAATTTTTGTGCAAGATTGCACTTTGCTTTTCTTTGCAAGTAACAATATTTATGATGTTTGATATAGCAAATTTCTTCATTACAATGATCGAGCTAGCAAATTCTTCATTCAAGTGTGCAAGCTAGCAATAACTTTCTCCCCCTTTGTCAATGTCAAAAGGGAGAGGAACCAATGAATTAGGCTTTTACATCAACTTTGCATCAATCAATATTTCAATCATCACATGATGCATACAAGGCAATAATGCAAAGAAATCATTTCATGAAGGATATCAATGTGAAAAGTCACCAAGGATCACATGATACAATCACAAATCATGATATCATTATGCGATACATCATGAGATGATAATTTATCATATCAATGAAAGATATCAATTGTTAAACATGATATGATAATAGTCTCAAAAATTTTAATTTGCGATACATGTGATACATTGCGATACACTAAAAAATTTAATGCGATGCTTTTAAGGATATCAACCTATTTTTGATACAAAGCATGGCAAGAGCAATTTTGTTGCAAGTTTTCTAAGTTTTGCACTTTTTGCTTCTTTCGATAGGCAAGATCTTTCTTCTCTTTTTGAGAAGTGCAAGCTTGCAAGTTTTACTTCCTTAGCATGCTAGGAAGTTTACTTTTATTTTCAATGCACAAGCTAGCAAAACCTTCTCCCCCTTTATCAAAGTCCAAAAGAAAGGGAGAACTCAATGTCTAAAAATTTCAATCATTCAATAAGCTAAATATGCAAAGAATTCATGAAATATATCAATAAGGATCAATTCATGAATACCAAAGATATGATTCA